ACTCAATCTGTTTTTAACCAATCATTGAAATAGAAGTTGGTTATTTATAACAACCCACTACCATATACGCTGCAGGTATCAAAAACAATATCATAATTTATTAAACCGTTTCCTTTTACAGTACCGTCCTGCTCAACAAAGCAACAACAACGCCTCCGCCGCTGGCGACGACGACGACAACGATAACGATGACGATGAATTAGCAAACGACGATGATGACAACAATAAACGACTGCAGCTTCAGCCGCAGCAGCAAAATCAGCAACTGCAATTTCAACGGCGACAACAGCTGCTGCAACAGCAACAGCATCTGATGCAGCAACAGTGCAGTTCTTCAGTGTCTGCTCCAACACCTCTGATGCCGGCGGCGGCGGCGCCGGTAGTGCGCGTCGTCAAACGTAGGAACACAGCCAACAAGAAAGAACGKCGGCGCACGCAGAGCATCAACAACGCGTTCTCCGACCTCCGGGACTGCATACCCAACGTGCCGTCCGACACTAAACTGTCGAAAATCAAAACGCTCCGGCTGGCCACGTCCTACATTGGTTACCTGATGACCGTGCTGGACAGCGACGACCCGGACACGGACGGTTTCAAAGCCGACCTGTCCGCGCACACTTCCAAGCGATCGTTGCAAACGATACACGTCGTGCAGGCCGATAAGACCCAACACCAGCAGGTATGTATATCTACTACATCAGTACATCAGTACATCACAATATATAGAGAATGACGGAAAAATAAAACTTAATTTATATATTTTACTATTAATTGTATCATTTTAGGAGACATTAGTTCTAATTTTCTGATTACAAATTTAGATCAATAATTAAACTGACCAGGTATCTATTATTTAATCGTATACTTATCATAAAATTAATTAATGGGTAAATAAATTAAATACAAAACATATAAATCAAAACAATTGTATGAAATAAAAAATTAAATTTTTCAAATATAGACTTTTTGTTGAATTCCATATGGCTTACGCTATGTCTTACGTGAACGCGAAAAACAAAACAGCTTGTATTTCGAGTGCATCGCGTCGCGACGCGAAAAAGGAACAGCATGGTCAGGATAGAATTCGTTCGCACTCGCYGCACTCGTCGCGTTCACGTAGGACACGCGGCGTTACAAGATTAATAAAATAAATATCAAACAAACAAACAATAAAAATTTAGACAACTATTATATAACATAAAATTGTAYCTAMTTATTATATTATGCAGGTTATACGCAATTTAAGTTGTGGTGATGGGCGGATGGAGGCAAAAATATTTGTYATTTTGTGAATTGTATAATATTAGAAATACAATGTTAAATATCGTAATTTTATGTGATAATAATTAGTATAAAAT